TTCATTGGGTAATTATTTATTTTGAAGTTAAAGGGGTAATTTCACCTTGTTTGACTGGTCTGAAGGGATTTTAGTTTATAATGTACTTTGGTGAATGTATTTATGATTTTTTAAATGCAAAAGCAAGTATGAATTTGATCGGCTTCATTGGATAATTATTTTTTGGGGTTTTTAAAGGTTAATTTCGCCCTCTTCGACGGGTCTAACGGGATTTTTGTTTACAGTGTGTTATAATAAATTTATTTTTTTGGTTGTGAAAGAAAGTTGATCCGAAGGCATTTTCACTTCATAGGGTAAATATTTATTTTTAATTATAGGTGTGTGACGGACCCGAAGGAAGATGTTGTGATAAATATAGCCCATGTCGTTAAGGACTCGGAGCAATTTTTTGTCAATCAATAAATAGGCCTACACTATATCTGTTATTTATTTTTCTTTAACAACTATACCTAAATATTCTAAAATTATATTTTGTAACCGAGTTTATCTTTAGGAAAAGTAAATACTCGTATATGATCAATTTTTATCTTAAATTTTTGTGAAGCGTGAATCTCATAAGAAACTGCAAGCCATATTTATATTTCTTTCAAGTCTTTATTATTCTGTTTTTATCAGCATAACTGTTTACTAACTTAAATAAAATTAGCAAGGTCAAGATGCGATTTTTAGTTCAAAGAACTTTGATATACAAAAATTCTTAAAATGTTTATAAATAAGGCACATTAATATATTTACTTTTTTAATCTAATTGTAAGTAGGAAATATGTGAGACTGGATATTTTGCATTACATCTACATTACTATTTTAACTCATTTAATCATATTTTTTAAGTTGTTATCTTGTAAACGTGACAATTTTTATTTAAAATATATAAAATCATGTGGTTTTTATATAGTATATTTAAAATTTAGTGTCATTAATCTTTATTACAGGGGGAGGGTTGGCTCAGTGGTTAGAGTCATGACTTTGAGATCGGAAGGTCTCAGGATCGAATCCCACCGTTGGCCGGGATTTTTTTTATTTAATTTAATTATTTAAAATTAATTCTGATGCCTTGGTAGGATTCCCCACTCGACCATTCACTGTTGGGTTCTAATTAACAGTGCTGTTCCTAAAGTGGCGCAAGGAAACAGTAACAAGGCCTGTCTGTAGGGGTGTAGGAGTATTAGAGTACTAATACTTCTACACTATGGAGTATAAGACTACTAGTACAATCCATAACCTACATAGAACACTAGGCTAATGACCTTAGATGTTGAAGCTAAAGAAAAAAAAATCTTTATTACGAACTTCATTTACTACATATTTTTAAAACTCAATAAACGTTTCATTAAAAAATCTGATGTGTCCAACACATGACTTTCCTATCTAGTTATTATAGGCATTTTCCGGTTATTTTGTACAACCTATTGCAGCATCTCTATAAATGTTTAGAGGATAAACTAAATATATACATTTTACACATACATCTACCTCGAAACATTTTTCTATAGATATTCATTGAAAACGAAAATACAGAAAAATTTAAATTTAGCACTTTTCCATTACGGTCCATTTTAGAAAAATCATGTATAAACAAAAATTATAGAAATCGATATCGCAAACAACTTTTAGTTCAACAATTTTCATAAAAATCAGAATTTTGCACATTTTGTCAAATTTCTCGAATACGGACCATTTCAGGAAATTTTGACATAAAGCAAAAATTATAGATAATAATATAAGAAGTAACTTTTATTTGAACAATTTTCTTCTCCAAACATAAATAACAGATATATTCCATAAAATATAAAAACGGCCTCCCATAAAGTACCCCCCCAGATGTTCCGACTTTGTCCAAAATCTAATCATTTCACGTCAGGCCGAAATAAACCTAAAGTTTAAAATTTAATGTTTTTTCCTTTATCCGTTTTTGAGTTTTCTTCAAATTTCGAAATTTACAAATTTTCTCAAATATTTCGAATACGGTCCATTTTAGAGAAATTATGTATAGGACAAAAATTATAGAGAATTATATTACAAACAACTTTTATTTGAACAATTTTTATAAAAAATTATGTTTTTTACATTTTGTCAAATTTCTCGAATACGGACCATTTTAGGAAAATTTTGCATAAAACAAAAATCTAATCAGCTCATTGGACGCTGAAACAAAGCTTAAGTTTAAAATTTGGTGTTTTTTTGTGTATCGGTTCATGAGTTATGCGACATACATACACACACACACACGCACGCACGCACGCACGCACGCACGCACGCACGCACGCACGCACGCACGCACGCACGCACGCACGCACGCACGCACGCACGCACGCACGCACGCACGCACGCACGCACGCACGCACGCACGCACGCACGCACGCACGCACGCACGCACGCACGCACTTCTAAGAATTCTAGCGGGATATTGTTTTCCTTTTTTACTTTCCTATCTGTATACAGATATAAGGAAAGTATAGGAATCATGATTTTTTTCGACCTCGAGTTTTCGACGGATTTTTACGTTTTGAGGTCCCCTGAATCCGTTTTGACTATTTTCGCGATGATGTCTGTGTGTGTGTGTGTGTGTGTGTGTGTGTGTGTGTGTGTGTGTGTGTGTGTGTCTGTGTGTCTGTGTGTCTGTGTGTGTGTGTGTGTGTGTGTGTGTGTGTGTGTGTGTGTGTGTGTGCCTGTATAACGCATAACTCATGAACCGATACACAGAAAAACACCAAATTTTAAACTTAAGCTTTGTTTCAGCGTCCAATGAGCTGATTAGATTTTGGGCAGAGTCGGAACATCTGGGGGGTACTTTATAGGTGGTCATTTTTATATTTTATGGAATATATCTGTTATTTACGTTTGGAGAAGAAAATTCTTCAAATAAAAGTTACTTCTAATATAATTATCTATAATTTTTGTCTTATGCAAAATTTTCCTAAAATGGTCCGTATTCGAGAAATTTGACAAAATGTAAAAAAAATCATTTTTTATAAAAATTGTTCAAATAAAAGTTGTTTGCAATATAATTCTCTTTAATTTTTATTGTATACATAATTTCTCTAAAATGGACCGTATTCGAGATATTTGAGAAAATGTGTAAATTTCGAATTTTGAAGAAAACTCAAAAACGGATAAAGAAAAAAACATTAAATTTTAAACTTAAGGTTTATTTCGGCCTGACGTGAAATGATTAGATTTTGGACATAGTCGGAACATCTGGGGGGGTACTTTATGGGAGGCCACTTTTATATTTTATGGAATATATCTGTTATTAATGTTTGGAGAAAAAAATTGTTCAAATAAAAGTTACTTCTATAATTTTTGTTCTATGTAAAAATTTCCTGAAATGGTCCGTATTCGAGAAATTTGACAAAATGTGCAAAATTCTGATTTTTATGAAAGTTTTTGAAATAAAAGTTGTTTGCCATATCGATCTCTATAATTTTTGTTTATACATGATTTTTATAAAATGGACCGTAATGAAAAATTTGTAGGAAATTTAAATTTTTCAGTATTTTCGTTTTCCATGAATATCTATAGAAAAATGTTTCGAGGTAGATGTATGTGGACAATGTATATATTTAGTTTATCCTCTAAACATTTATAGAGATGCTGCAATAGGTTGTACAAAATAACCGGAAAAAGCCTATAATAACTAGATAGGAAAGTCATGTGTTGGACACATCAGATTTTTGTACCAAGTGATTCGCATTCAATAAAATTATAGAAAATTCGAATAAAATGAAAATGGCCTAAATTGTCTCTTGTGTCCTTTTCCAAATAACTGATGCAATTATTAGAAATGTAAGAACCGTATAAAATTACTAAACTTTGTTCTGGATGTTTTGCAGTCAGAACTATGGCTAAAACCAGCTAAAAGTGCACGCTCTAGTTGAGTCCCATTTAAGATATATGGAATTGTATTTTCGGGAGGTTTTAGCTGTGAGTTAGTCAGTACTGTTTTTTGTCTGCAAAAAAGAGTAATTCAATTTTTATGTAGAGTGAACAATCTCGAACATTCGATTGATAAAAAATATGGACATCAATGCCATATTTGTTAATGATGATGATTTTCAAGGAATAAGACATTATGATTCATTTCGGAAAATTTCGTACTGGTTGCATACAGGGTGTCCCGAAATTAGACGGTCATATTTTAACGGCATAATCTACATCCTAAAATAGGAGTAAAAGTTCATCTAAACATAAGTCCGAAAACGTTTCGGTTTCGAGATACTTACAATGTGTTACAAGTCCTGACGGCACATTTTTGTAAATATTTTTTTAAATTTCTTTAGTCACCGGTTTTTCAAAGTTAAAAAAAATAAAATTTCTTATTTCATAGGCCTACTAATTATTGTTTACACTTTCAAATAAGATAACATCAACTTATCATAAAATTTTCAAATGCTTTTCTCCTGAAAATGGTGCATCCTAGCGAGATGCAACAAAAGTAGCTCTATTATAAAGAAAACATTGGTTTTCCAAATTATATAGTCAAAAATGTTAAAAATAGTCAAAAAAAACTGGGATTTAGTCCATTAAATAAAGCGTAAAAAGGTAAACATTTGTACCAAATTTCACTTAGTTATCTTTAAACGTCATTAGGACTTCACTTTTAACACCCTGTATCTCGAAAAAGAAACGTTTTCGGACCTATGTTTATATAAACTTTTACTTCTATTTTAGGATGTAGATTACGCTGTTAAAATATGACCGTCTAATTTCGGGGCTATATGAGCTCACCTTATTCATAAGCATCATAATTCGATAACCTATCATTCCGACAAGCAAACCATATGCCTTTCCTGTCACCAGTTTCCTACCTATTACGTGTAATTTTCTTAATTAACAAATTCAATCCAAATAGATTGAAAAATATAAATATATAAACGCAACGTCACATTGAAAGGTTCGGATCTGGATTCTTGATAAAATTAACATTTTATCTCCCGCTACTAGTATCCTGCAGATAATATTTATGAGCAAGTAAACTCCAATTTATGATAACTACTTACCGACGGTGGTAACGGGACATCTCCTAGGTATAATTCCAAAAGAATATTGAAAAAATCCCCTACCAATAGGCAAAATTGGCGCCATACCAATTAACTTTCGTATCTTCTCCTGCAAACTCCTCAACCAAGACGTCTCCACCTGATCAAACAAATCAGTTTCCCCAAATGATAACACCGGTACTAAAGGTGTTCCGTTTTTAATTGCTAACTTAACAAAACCTTTTCTACATTTTAAAACGACTTTGTAACTCCCCGGCTTACAAAAATAGGCTTCGAATGCCCCTCCTACCATTAGAGCGCAAACGTAGCCTCCTTCTGGTCTGCTTATTACGTAATTTATGGCTTTTGAAGAAGATGCAATACCACCGAATCCTAAGGCCAGATCTCTGAATATAGGCATTTGATAATGCTGTGATAATGTTACTACTCTAGGTTCGTGTTTGGGAAATAGGCTTCTGAAAGCACTCCATTCAGTTCCAAAGTTGAAAGCTCCTGTTGCTAACATACCGTGGGGAAAACAGCAAAATAGGTAATTCTTCTTGGGATCTAATTCCACAAAAGGAGTTTTTTCTAATTTCAATGGAAAATAATCCCTGGTATATCTCCAAATAGCCCACGATCTAACCCATTTGCTCGGTCTACCCCCATTCTCGCTGATGTCCTTATCTATAACCCAGATGTAGAAAAGGTATATGGACGTGAGCCACCAAAGTCTTGTAAAGAGCACTAGGTACAAGCATATTAAAAATCCTATAAAACCACCGAATGCCATTGTGATGAACCATATTGCTGCTGAGACTGTTTGAAGTCGTCTTTGAAATGGTACGTTTAATGGTGCGAAGCGGATGCCCAATATTTCCATCTGAAATTTAAAAAAATTATTTTTCAATGTTTTGTTTTCCACTGATAGGCAAACATCGAATGTTTTAACAGTTTTGTTATTACAATTAACCGGAAAGTTTTAACATAACTTTTTCTGTCTCATATTGATAGTGCTAATTTAAAATGTCAAACCAAAAAGAGAAAGGAATGAGATAGAAGATATTAAACACGTTTTGTATGGAATTTTATAATTCCATTGTTATATTAATCCAAAATGACTTATTTCTGACTGTACTTTACTTATTATTTTGATATATCTACATACAAGAACAAACAACTTTGACTTGCAAACAATTCATTAAATTGGCCTTGTTGTGACCCTACTATGAATAATTATCTGTTACATCTAGTTAAATATTCTGTTTTCAAAATTCAGTGATCTTGCAAACAATCAAAACACAAAATATACCAGAAGAATAAAGAAATTTAAATTATATATTTTATGTGAAACTTATTTAATGAACCTAAATAATTGAAAAAAAAATAATAATTACTATAATCACTGGTACATTATGGTTTTCCAAATTATTGAGCTATTAATTATTATTACACCTATTTAAACATTGTGTGCACTAAAATGTAGGTATGAAGCATTTTGATTGCATGATCTACTTTTACAAATTAAGGCAATTTAAAAAATTACGATATGAAATTTTTCATGTAAAAAACACGCAAAGTTATACCATTTTATATTTCAAAGTTTTGTATAAATACAATTTATGAAGAGATTGACGAAGTATTTAATGATTTTCTTTATGATGAAAATGGTTTTACATTAGTATTGTATTAAAACATAAGTCAACTATGAAGGAAATAGAAGAAAAAATCAGTTGTCGTTTGAAGATGCTCAAAAAATCATTCTTTCTCTACCTACCAGATGATCTGATATAGACCAACTGGAATACCGTATCGACGGCAATGTATTCAAAGGGTGTCGGTTGCAATACGCGTGTTTAGTGAAAACGTCACAGTTTGAAGAAGATCATGCCAACAAAGTAACCAGACTGGCAACTGTCATTAATGTCCATAAGAATAACACAGCGGTCATTGAAATTATTTAACATATTAGAACATATTATGGACGGGAAGGTAATAACGTTTATATGTATCTGTATGGATTTCATAATTTTTTTTTCCAGGAAAATATTTATTTGTCTTTTATTTTAAACCAGCCTACTCAAACCCTGGTTTTTGAAGTGGATATAATTTAAGTAATTGACACATTCAAAGCAGGGCGTGGCGCTTAAACTTATATCTGATTACTTATATAATCGTGTTCAAAGAGTAAGGATTGGTTCTGAATTTAGCTGCGAATCAATTATTAAAGTGGGTGTTCCACAGGGAACAGTCTTGGGTCCCTTGTTGTTTCTTGTTTACATGAATAGTATAACAAAAATTAATAATTTTCAAGGTCATCTTGTGTGTTATGCCGATGATACAGCCATAATTTTCACCGGAAAAACATGGGAAGACGTACATCACAAAACAGAAGCTACATTAACTAAGGTGACACTATGGTTAAACTATAACAAACTAACATTAAATATTAAAAAAACAAAATTTATTGCTTTCAGCCCGACTGCTACAAATCAGCCAATTAACTTACCGATTAAACTACACAGCCCAAACTGCGAGCTAAACAATTGCATATGTCCCACTATTGAAAAAGTCGCTTCCATAAAATATTTAGGTGTTATACTAGACCAATATATACGTTGGACAGAGCATATCACTCATGTTAGTAATCGAATAAGGGCTCTAATGCATACATTTTATGTACTTCGCGATATTCTAAGATAAAAATAATCATGACATATTCCTCATTAGTGGAATCTGTTTTAAGATACTGTATTACGGCATGGGGAGGGGCTTTTAACACTACACTTAATACTCTGCAAGTAACACAAAACACAATTTTGAAAATAATATTAAAAAAAGATAAATTATTCACTACCATACGATTATATAATGAAAACGAAATCCTCAACATTAAATCACTCTTTATCTACCAATGTATCATAAAAGTATATAATAGCCCTGAACTATTTCAATATAAACAAACTCGATTGACTCACTCTACTACAAATATGGACCTTTCTACTCAACTTTTTAAAAAATCTCTAACCCAAAGATCCTTCTTTTACTTTGGTCCCAAGTTCTACAATCTAATCCCCATACATCTCAAACAAAAAAGTAAACTATCTATATTCAAACAAAATATTAAAAAATATATAATAGATAACCAAATCACATTTACTGCTATAATGTTGTAAGCTATACCTGATTTAAAATTGAAATTTGTTGTTAGCTATTTGTATTAAATGTTGGAATAACTCCTGGATAACCCTCGTCTGCTTCGCTCTTCATATGTTCTCAATCTAAAAAAAAATTTTGTATCCTACTTATTATTATACCTACTTAGGCACTAAAATATAAAATGTACGTTTTATTTCAAATCTTTTAGAATCAGCACAAGCAACACAGGCAGCTTTTGCTTAGGCTTGTTGCTAATTCTAGATTTTTTGTAATCTATATTAATCTTAAAATATTATTATTATTATTATTATTATTATTATTATTATTATTATTATTATTATTATTATTATTATTATTATTATTATTTGTACTTTATTACTATTTGAATTTGAATAAATTGAAAATATAAATGGTAAGTTGATGACATTTACATGTAATTCTATCGATTTCATAATATTTTTTCAGGAAAAAATATATTTCAGCGATTTGAGAAACTTAACCTTATTCCTGATTTTGAGAGTGAAAATAATGTAATATTTACAAGATGAATCAATCCCTGGGTCCGTCCAAAAAAGAAGCAGGTGAGACATATATCGAGGGCCACAAGGCAGGATCTCCTAAGCCGCAAAATCGACATTTTTCAGATAAAAAAAAAGGTTTTACGTATACAACAATCCATTTTACTCAATAATAGGACTAATATTTACCTATGTCTTGTTCAAATATTGTAATACTTCCTTTATACAGTAGATTATCATAAAATATCATTTTCAGTGGAAATGTTAGTTAAGAGGTCCTGCTGTGGCCCTCGATATAAGTTCTCAGAGTTATTATATGTTACTGGGAAGTAGAATGTTAACTTTATTGTTGTGCCTATGGAATTAATAGCATATTTTTATATACTTGAAGAAAAACATTTTTTTAGATTATGTTATGATCAAAACTATCTATTAAAAATGAAAGTGGAGAGGTCAGAAGAAATGATAAGAACTATGCCTCTGTATTTTTCTTACACACAAATTTGTGAAAATAATATAATAAATTGCAAGATAAATAAATAAAATGTAAAGTTGTTTTATTATATAATAATATAAATTATCAAATATTTGTCTAGTAATAAATAATAATTTAGTATCTATTAAATTTAACTATTTGACAGCGCTTTTACAGTAATAAAAAAAATCTGATGTGTCCAACATATGACTTTCCTATCTAGTTATTATAGGCTTTTTCCGGTTATTTTGTACAACCTTTTGCAGCACCTCTATAAATATTTAGAGGATAAACTAAATATATACATTTTCCCATACATCTACCTCGAAACATTTTTCTATAGATATTCATTGAAAACGAAAATACTGAAAAATTTAAATTTAGCACTCTTCTTCCAATTTTTCCATTACGGTCCGTTTTAGAAAAATCATATATAAACAAAAATTATAGAGATCGATATCGCAAACAACTTTTAGTTCAACAATTTTCATAAAAATCAGAATTTTGCACATTTTGTCAAATTTCTCGAATACGGACCATTTCAGGAAATTTTGACGTAAAGCAAAAATTATAGATAATAATATTAGAAGTAACTTTTATTTGAACAATTTTCTTCTCCAAACATAAATAAGAGACATATCCCATAAAATATAAAAACGGCCTCCCATAAAGTACCCCCCCAGATGTTCCGACTTTTTCTAAAATTTAATCAATATACGTCAAGCCGAAATAAAACTTAAGTTTAAAATTTAATGTTTTTTTCTTTATCCGTTTTTGAGTTTTCTTCAAAATTCGAAATTTACTCATTTTCTCGAATACGGTCCATTTTAGAGAAATTATGTATAGAATAAAAATTTTAGAGAATTATGTTGCAAACAACTTTTATTTTAAACAATTTTTATAAAAAAAATATTTTTTTTCATTTTGTCAAATTTCTCGAATACGGACCATTTTAGGAAAATTTTGTATAGAACAAAAATTATAGATAATAATAATAAATTATAGATAATAATATTAGAAGTAACTTTTATTTGAAGAATTTTCTTCTCCAAACGTAAATAACAGATATATTCCATAAAATATAAAAATTACCCCCTATAAAGTACCCCCCAGATGTTTCGACTCTGCCCAAAAACTAATCGGTTCATTGGAGGATAAAATGAAGCTTAAGTTTAAAATTTGGTGTTTTTCTGTGTATCGGTTCATGAGTTATGGTGGATACAGACACACACTGACAGACATCATCGCGAAAATAGTCAAAACGGATTCAGGGGACCTCAAAACGTAAAAATCCGTCGAAAACTCGAGGTCGAAAAAAATCATGATTCCTATACTTTCCTTATATCTGTATACAGATAGGAAAGTAAAAAGTATCGAAAACAGCCGATATGAATTTGTCAATATAAAATATATGTAAAATATTTAAATTAGGATCCCATTCAGTCTCTACGGATTATAGCCAAACAAAACACAGTATAAATCGCAACACATGATGTACCTTTGATCAAAAGCATTTTTAGCTTCTTCAGGACCTTCTCAGTTCCGCAAATATTGTAATGGGCATAATAAAATAAGGTAGTCATGTTGTAGCAAATCTCTGGGACATGTGCTACTGCTTTAAAACCCCTTAAATAAGTTGGGTTAAGATTTCTCAATTCACGGAAAACTAATTCTTTTCCAGAAAAAAAGATTAGGAAATTGATAGAATTACATGTGAAGGTTACTCACTAT